GTGTAAGTTCATGAATTTATATTTTGGCCTTCATCTTTTATTCTTATTAGTCGTCACATTTTTATCCATGTTTGAAGCTCGAACTGTTATGCTTCTTGCATCTTTTATTAAATTGTTTGTATGTGATGAAACAACAATTGTTTCTAGCTCCTAGACTCCACTACTAGCTAGTATAACAGCATAAATAATTGTTTCAAACATATACCATGGCACTCAAGATGTTGAATTTTCTCTATCACATAATTATATGTATAGTAGTATTACTTTATAAGAAAATAGAGTGCTTGTGGTTAAACTATCAGTATTGAAATGTCATGATATTTCAGTTAAAATGTAGTTTCATATCTAAAGTAACAACTTATAAAATTTATAGTCATAGATTTTAATATAATTCAAAACTGAATTATTAGGGTCTTTGGTATTGGGTTTGTTAAGGTATTCTTTCATGGTTAATAGTGATAGAACTTGGTACACACAAGCATAGATAAAACTTATGTTAACTTAGAATTTAATAGTGATAGAACTTGGTAATTTAGAAATAGTTATAGTATATGATTTTTAATTACTTTTCCAAAAAGCTTATGTTAATAAGTTTTAAACATAGATTGGGGGTATTTTAGGCCCTGTATAGATCCATGCGACTAACAACTAGTCATAGTAGCTCCTATTTGTAAACTAGTGGACTAACAACTAATTCATGACTAGTGGGCTAACAATTAGTCCATCTGTTTGAATCCCTAGGGACTAAAAATTACTGAACTCGTTGTTAGACCCATGGATCCAAACATGACCTTATTTTAGGAACATGTCAACTTTTGGCAACTTAACTCTTGCCTTTATTTAATATTGACCCCACTACGAAACTTAGTAACTTTGGTACCTCAGCTATCAAAATAGTTTAGTTTTGACCCTGAGGCTGTTTGAGTGGTTATCAGGTGGCTTGGTGCCACCTATTATATATACCCTACCACCCCTCTTCTCTCCCTCTCTCTATCACCATTGCTGCCTCCATCCCCCCTTCCCTGTTCCCTTTCCCTGTCTCTCTCCCGGCCATACCCAACGTCAACCTTCTCCACTCTTAATGCAATTGATCCATAGTGCCGCCAATCATCTTGGAGCCCAAACTGCCACATTCGCGGCCAATGCATTGTTGGACTCCACCTACCCATTGGTGTGCCTCACCCCACACACATGCACGTCAATGTAGGCCAAGTTGCTGTCAATGTCCACGCTAGCCACCCTTACCCCACCTGCAGCATCACTTGTTGTCCTCCTGAGTGGACATAGCCTACACATGCGCCTTGACCCCCAAGAACGACCCTCTGTTGTGAGTCACCTCTCTCATGCAATGGCCCGCCATCGCTAACTCCGCCATGTCCTACCACCAGGCATGGGCGAGCCAAACACCATTGATCATGGTAGGTATGGTCATTTCAAGCTCGACGTGAAGGAGTCGGAAGTCCTTGAATGATCTAACCATGTACTCCCTCCGTCCACAAAAGAATATAATTACCGCTTATCGAGAAGTCAAATAGTTTGAACTTTGACTAAAATTATATGAAAGGGTATTAAAATTTATAATGCAAAATATATACCATCAGATTAGTTATAGAATATATTTTCATAATAAATTTATTTAGAGACATACATGCCAATACTATTTACTACAAAGTTGGTCAAAGTTAAGAAAGTTTGACCAGCACGCATCCTATAATTGCATTCTTTTGTGGAGTACCTAGATGGGCTTCATGATTCTGTTGAGCACGATGCACGTGATCTGTGAGAAGACCCCATGGGCATACACAGTTGGAGAGGATGACACCAACGGGGACAACTCCGAGGAGGAGTGCTCATCAGGGATATGAAGTCAACACAGATGACGACAAAGTCATGGAGGTAGGATGAGTTCATTATGGTAGTGGCAGATGAGGAGGAATAGTGGAGGAGCATCTTTATGGTCATTTTGTAGAAAGGACCCTTAGGAATATCCAAAGCTAACCCTAAAATTCGATGTGGCAATGCACAAAAACCATTTCATAAATATTACTGCTGGGCCCAAGTTGATAGGTGGGCCTGAACCACCTGAAAAAAAAATTCAAAATAGGCTCGCTCAGGGGGGTCAAAACTAAATTGTTTTGATAGTTGAGTTGCCAAAGTTATGTGGCTTTATAGTTGGACATCAAAATTAGACTAAGGAAAGAGTTGATAGACAAAATTGAATGTGTTCCTCCACTTTATGTTTTATAGCAACATATGTAGATGCAAACTAAAGGCGCTACTTTACATTATCTTTGTTAATAGCAGAGGTGGATAATTTAAAAGCAAATTTAGGTTTTACTTTAAATGATCCCTAATAATGGAAGGGTTTTATAGATTGGATGTAGATCTAGAGGGTTATTTATGTTTTCTCATAATGTCATAAATTATTTTTACAAAATAGAATAAATAGTATTGTCAATGGCCAGATGTTTCTTGTTATTATGAGAAATTTTAGAATTTATGTTTCTTATAAATCATCTTGTGAGGATTAATGTGGAGGCCTTATTAAGGCTTCCCCCATGGGAGTGAATTTCAGGGTGGGTTAAAAAATCATCCCATCCATTTCACACCAAAGCACAGGTCTAAGGCCTAGCCTAGTTCTTACATGGGCAACAAATTCTGTTGTGTAAGGGTGGGGCGGAGGTTTTCTCGGGCTACATGAGAAGGTCTTCTTATCAGAATGCACAGGAGCAGCTTTGCCGTCGCCGGTCGAGTTTTTGATATGTGTTATATTCCATTGCATTGGACCTCATGTGTCTTTGATATATGAACTATACTTGGATTTTTAACTTTTGATCTTATTAATTGTTGAGGTTTATTTTACCCATGTGTTAAGTTGAAACTCTAGTACTTATTGTTTTTATTCAAAATGTCCCTTTTGTATTATATTAAAACACATATTCTAGATCAATGCTACACTTTTAGTTACTATAATATCATTAATAGTTGTTTTAGCCTAGACCTACACCATGGTACTCAACACATGTTGAATTTGTTATATTAAAAAATTATATGTGTTGAGTGATTAAAATTAAATTATTAGTAACAATATGTGATATGTTTTAGTCTAAATGTATAAACTTATCTAAAGTGCTAACTTACAAATTTTATTGTCACGGAGTACTAACATAATTTAAAATAAATTGTTAGTGGCATTGGTACATGATTTGTTAGGGAATATTTTTACCATGATCGATAACTATTAAAATAAATATTTATCCGAGTGCATGTATGTTTACTTGGCCTACGTGGTGTCACATATCATTTATTTCACCTTTTAATTTAATAAAAGTCGAAGTGTGTAATTGTGAAACATATATAGTGTACTTTTATGGTTATTATTAACCTATTTTTTATAGTAGGTTATATAGGTATTTAGATGTAGATTTGGGGGGCATTTAGTTCATTGTTAATATAATAGACGATGTTAATTTAGATATCAATTAAAGGAGTTGCTTATATCATTTTTAATAATGATAGATGTGGGTAATTAAAAAGCAAATTTAGCGGGTTGTTTTAAATTATCCTTTACACGGTGGGGTAGGTAATTTAGATGGACATTTAGAGAGTTATTTTTAAACTATCTTTCACAATGAAAATGTTAGGTGATTTAGATACAACTTTAGGGATGTTTATATTATATTGACCGTGTGCCTATTAAAGAATGAGCCAGCGACTCATAAGCGGTGGCTTGGTTGAGGGAATGGAACCCACCGAAGTTGTAGCGAAAATGATTCTTTATAGGGCAATTGTCAGTACTTATGGACCTAAACCTGGGTGATCTATCCATGACTAGGATGAAGCTTGGATGAAACTAAGCAGAGGTCCGAATCGTGTTGAGGAATCAACGGATAAGTTGTGGTTAGAGGGTGAAATGCCACTTGAAACCAGAGATAGCTGGTTCTTCCATAAATGCATTGAGGTGCATCAGTTGACTAGACATCTAGGGGTAAAGCACTATTTTGGTATTGGCAAAGGTGTATAATTTTAATGTAAATTTGGGGGATTAATTTATGTATTTTTCATAACAGCTGAGGTGGGTAGTTTTCGAATATTGAATAGATCCAATAGATATTAATGACGGTGATAATTAGAGTTCATCAAATAAAAGATCAGATGTTTCAAATTATTATGAGAAACTTCAGGATTTGCCTTTCTTCCTAGCGTCTCTTGTAAAGATTAATATGATTTCTCTATTGGTGGTCTCAGTTAGTAATATTAAGATATGCGCTTTGATTAGAATTTTTTTAATTGAAATGGTGGAGGTTTGGAATATGCTCTCTATTTTTCATGAAACATTATATCCATCTATTTGGATATATAGTGGTGCTATGAACAACGTTTTAGGTGGAACACATGTACATCTAGCATCAATTATCTTCAAAACAGTGGCTCAACTCTCTGGGCAAAAGGGAGATAATCTGCTTGGTGATGACAGCTTTGGAGATCATCATTCTGGACATCTTTGCTAAAAATGGATGGAAAAACAATAATAGACGTTGTTTTGGTTTATTTCCTTTCATTTCTATGCTTGTGCGTCTTTTGGCTCTTGTGGTTGTCAAGCTGAACCGAAAACATTATAAAGATTTGATTGTATGTGATCGCAGAGGCCAGCACTTTCTGTAATTAAGAAAAGTACATTGTTCGATTCAAGAGTTTATTAAAAAAAGTACATTTTATTTCAATTCAAGAATTTTCATTAACCAGTATTTCTTCGGTTAGAGCAGCGGCATCCACCACATGGTACATACTTGCATATGTGTATATAGGCTTTTGTTTGTGAAAACGACGCCAACTCGCAGAGCATTCCGTGCAAAACAGCAACAGCAGCGCACTGCAACCAATTCCTCATGCACGACGCCACCAACAAAAAACCAAGCACAGGCCTGGACAGGTGACACACTGATCGTCCAATGCGAATTTTCTTGTGTGCTGGTTCGTGGTTGCACGGTTACATTACATCATGAGAGGATGTCGTCCCAGTCGATTTCCAACGACGGGTACATGCAGAGCGCGACGCCGTCAGCCTCATCCCACGGCGCCTCCGAGAAGTCCAGCTCCTGCATATCCGGCAGTGGCGTCGCCTTAGCGGCCAACGACGACGACCCGGTGGACGATGGAGGGAGGCCTGCGCCGTCGGTCGTTGCCATGGTGGTCGTCGAGGCCTCCGAGCCAGAGCCGCAGCCTTGCTCGTTCTTGATATCCGGGCTCTCGGGTCGTGGCGAGGCGGTCGCCGGCGCGGATGTCACGGCTTGGAGCTTGGCGTCGACGGTCGGGTGGAGCGGCGGCGCGAGGTGCCTACCGCCTAGCCGGAGCTCCGGGAAGTTGAGGCGGGCGGCATCACCGCGCAGCCGGAACGCGGCGCCGTCGTAGGCAAGCGCGGCCTCCTCGGCGGTGTCGTACGTGCCGAGCCACAGGCGCGTCCGGTTGCGCGGCAGCCTGATCTCCGCCACCCACTTGCCCCAGTGCCGCTGACGCACGCCGCGGTACAGCTTCGTCGTCATCGAGGGTACCGGCGCGCCCAGACCGCGGTACGGCTTCATCACGCGCGGCGCCGGTCCCAAGCGCCCGCCGACGCGGTAGTAGCAATAGCAAGCCGCCTGCGCCGGAGTGATGAGGTGGTAGCACCTGCTTCTGCTGGCGGCGACGATAGCCATGGCTTGGCCTTGCTCGGTGTCCACCATGATTGGAGTTGGAGCAGCTTGCACTGGGGTGGCTAGGGAGTGGATTAGCTCTCTGTACTGCACGGCGCCGAGTGGCGACGGAGTACTGACAGTAGCTTGAAGGCGGCGCCATTCCCTGTGATCCATGGCCGTAGTCATGGCTTCTTGGATCACTCAGGAATAAGAATAACTATGCAGGAAACCAAGAATTATCTAGTTCTTGGCCGTCTGGTTCATATATGGATTCTTTTGGATGTTTATAAGAATGCGGAATGAATATGCTGCAATGGCTTGGGCGTTTTTATAGGCAGGGAGGCAGCAGCGCCACTCGCCAATGGGCAACTGCCAAGTGGTCTACTGTGCTACGTGGCAAAGGTCCCATAGGATAGGAGCTTGTGTGGGGCAGTGGCGAATCTAGGATTTTAGCTTAGGGTATGCCGCCTAAAAAATTTTATATACAATTCGGTAATAATTGTAAAGTTGACAACGTAATTCGGTATATATGCACTAAGTAACACAATAAGGCTTAAATTCATGGATTAAGTTCAAACCATCAACTAAATATAGTATAAATAGTTCAAAAGTCATACCGATAATTGAAATATAGGCATAAAAGAGAATCGGAGACTTACAATGTTATTTTTCTGACTATTTATTCAACGTTTTCGAAGGGACATAAATATCTTGATTATATCATCTTCATCAACTTGAAAAATATCTGAGTTGTAGCAGTGGTGGTGAAGACGGTTGTGGCGGTGGCGGTGGCATAGGATGTGAAATTTCCTCAATTCTCTCATGATTCTGCTCTTCCACCACACGTTCAACCGGATCGGGGGAATGATTAAAAGCAGAAGCAGAAGCAGCTGCCGCTGCCTTTTTTCTTGATGCTTCTGAAAAAGTGATGCAATATCTGAGTTTTTCTTTATAACTGTATAAATATTAAACAATTTGTTATTTGTGATGTTAACAAATAGCTATGAAATTAGACAATAATTTTCTAAAAAGACGAAGAGCAGAAGATTAAATTTTATATACCTAACACAAATAGCGAATCGGCGAGCCTCCGTGACTGCGCGGCCGTGCAAACTACAAATTGTAGATGCATGATCGGAGAACGGAAGGCAGCAAGGCAGAGGCCTGAGGGCACCGGCCACCAGGATCAGCAGGGCGTCGCTGTCCGTCACGCCTCACCACAGTGGCGTCGGCGTCAATCGTCAGGGCGGCGGCGGCGTGAGTTCGTGAATCAGCCCCCATGAATGGATACAGGTTATAGAATACCAAAAGCCAATAGATAACTATCGTGTAGGCGTGTACGTACTTGCTGCGTGGGCCGCTTCCTGGGCCTTCTAACTTGCTGCTTCCACGATGGATGGCGTGATCAGGTGAGTATTTTTTCTTTTTTTATAAATACATATGTATAATACTTATATTATATTGTACACTTGCTGGTCAAACCGGGGCCACTGATGAGGGGCACTTGGAAGCTGGTGATTGCAGGCTCCAAGGTGCAATCCAGCATTGACCATGCATGAAGGTCAGCAGACTAGTATCGGAATTTACAATAATTTTCTAATATATAAAAAACTTTTAGGGGCCATTTGAATCTTCTCATTTTGAAGGAAATGGAATCTAGTTAATGGATTATTCTATTTGGCTCGAAATTTAACATTCTCCAACTTTCTAAGGCCACATATAAGCCTATCTCAAATTCATAGGACGAGGAATAGAAATTGATATGCTATGTTTCTACTCTGCAACATAGCATGCTCTTCAACTCGCTTAGAAATTCAAAATATAAGCATCTCTATTGCAGGGTTAATAATAGTATATACAAATATATTATTATATATAACCATATTAGTTTAATTAATTTATGTCTAAATTATAATTATTAAATTAAATTAAATTCCAAGGATCCAAAGAACGGGCCTTAACAGAAACTAAGAAGATTTTGCAACAACATTAAACAGTTATGGGCTCAAAGGTAATACACGATTAATTCTGATCTGGAACTCGTTGCTTCCAAGCTAGTACAACAATGTAGAGGAATTATTACCAGAAATTCGCCGCTGATGAAGAGGCATCACGGTCTGGGGGCTGGGGGCTGGGTGCCTGGGGCTCTGGTCTAGGAGTACTTCTACAATGATGATGATGATGTGATGGTGACGCAGCGCCGCCAATGCATTTGGATTTGATGCACAGAAGGCCGCTCTTCACAACGATTTCTGGTTGACTCGACATGGCATGCAGGATCCGTTGTGGCGTTGTGTAACCACAACGAATAATGCAGGCCAACAGTTCATTGCTTCAACTTTCAATCTCAGCCAAGAATACAGTTCAAACAGCCTTTTCCTTCTGTACCTTTGTTGTGTTATCGGATATTCTTTCCTTTTTTATTTTTTTTAAGTACAAATGTACGTGTTTTGTTGTTTAGGATCGTTTGCTTTGTGAAAAAAAAACAGGGTATCAATACACAAAAAAGGAGAACAGCTTGAGATAGGATTCTCTAATAACTATTTAAATAAAAAGGAAAATATAGACTGTCTACAAATGTAGTGCATATATTGGGATGTACACCTATATAGCACTCCCTTTGTTCATAAAAGAATGAATTCCTAGCAACTTTATGACAGATTAGTAAAGAAGATAAAAGACCATGCTGTCCCTCATTAAACTGTTAGAACCTTTGTAGAAGCTTAATTAAGTAGTGTCGTTTGGAGTATCCAGTAGCAGCGCAGGCGATGGAGGTTGTGTTAAATGCAACCCAAACTACAAGAGAGATTAATGTGGATCGGTGGACAGTTCACCTCCAGAAATCGATTCTTTTATAGACAAATTTTTGGCCTAGAAATTGATTTTTTCAGGGACAGAGGGAGTACAAAATACTTGTGGATAAACACATACAAAAGATTATGTGCTGTCGTTCTCCAAGACATGGGCAAATGGAAAACAACATGGGAGATGGGAGGACTATGCACGTCTCAGTTTTATATATACATGGAACAGCAAACAGAATAGCAAAGACCTTTTCAAGAATTGAAAGATACTTCAAATATTTAAGAAGTTGAACTATTATCTTTTCTTAGCGAAAAAAATATGTACTACACCCTTCATTCTAAATTGTACCTTTACTTTTTTTTCTTTGTTCTAAGTCAAACACATTTAGCTTTGACGGAATTTGTAGAAAAATCCAGCAACATCTATAACATCAAATTTGGTTCATTAGGTTCTTCATACAATATATTTTCATAGAGAAATTGTTTCAAAGTTAGAAGTTTGACTCAGAACATAGAAAGCAAACTATGCCCTTGTTTAGTTCGCGAAATTTGGATTTTGGGCTACTGTAGCACCTTCGTTTTTATTTGGCAAATAGTGTTCAAACATGGACTAATTAGGCTCAAAACGTTCGTCTCGCAATTTCCCACCAAACTGTGCAATTAGTTTTTCTTTTCGTCTACATTTAATGCTCCATGCACGGGCCACAAACATTCGATGTGACAGGTACTGTAGCAACTTTTTGGAAGTTAGGGAGGAACTAAACAAGACTTATGATTAGGAAACGAAGGAATACAATAAATGCAACCTGAATTCTAAAACAATAAAAAGTCAAGAATTGTGCAAGAGCAAAGAGATTAACAACCATCATAATATAATACTTTATAAATCAATATGCATGAATCTTTCTCAGCAAAAAAGGTTAAATCTAGTCAAAAGGCAGTAACAACTTCAACTTGCCCCAAAACCTGTCCACAGGCGTCAGCAGTTTCAATTAGATCCTTGCAACTAATCCAAGAACACCGAAAAGAAACCATTGGCAAATCTATTGTTGTCTACTACTTCTAAAACTGTTAGTTGGTCCGTCTCCACAACCTGTCATCTGCTCAAGCATTTCAGAAACATTATATGAGTGGTGATAACCTTGTTAATCTCTGGGTCTAAAAACAAAACAGGAAGCCACAAAGTAGATAACTTTGTAAAGCAAGCTTGTGGCCTGGGTTCATCAGGGCGGGCTTTAACAAATGCATGACTGATTAGTGGTCACCAAGCTGCCCGGACCCCGGATGCAAAAAAGAATTAGGGCCCAATCATGCAGCCTACGAAACGAATGGGTCTGCATCAGCCTGGTGACAGGTCCAGTGATGCCATGGAGGCAGCGCTTTTTCAGCGTTCCGTTAATAAAGGGCAAAAGGGTGGTTAAAGAAATGAGATGATAAGAGTTATTAAGAAATGCTGGAAGGGGACAGGAGGGCGTAAGGATACGGCGTCAGACAATCTAGGGGTTACGACAGTCTGTAGAGGTATTAAGATTGACATCTTACGTGGCTAAACTGGCTAGCTTGTAATTGCAGATGTGCAGTAAAGGTCACCAATAGAGCGCTTGTTAGGGGCTGTCGAGCTCCATAGGCCATAGCTCTCCATGATTTTTTTTTTTTGAAAAAAAGTCTGAATTATTGCCTTAAAAACTAATGGTTGATTTGATTTACTCTCCCAACTATTTCAGTTGGTCCTAGTATTTAGGACTTAACTAAATTTATTATTTTGGCTTCTTCGTTTATAAGGTTGGGTTTTAATCACTACTTTTATAAGCTGATATTGAACATCGTATCATTGTTTTGATAAGTTAGCGATATATTAACACTGCAGATACTAAATTCTACGAAACATAATAGTAAAACTTTCTTAATATATTTTTAACACAAACCATGATTTTCTATACCATCTCACAAAACTTGAAATTAAAACATAACTTGTCCAGAGGAAAACAAAAAGGACAGCTTATTAACTGAAATAGTTGGGGGAGTAAGTTGAACAAATGATGCTGATATTATTATTCTTTTCCATAAAATTAGTCAAACTTAGAAACTTTGACTTAGAACATATTTGGTTTCTTAATATTTGTGAGGTGTACAACCAATGAAAATGAGCTATGAAGCATACAAAACTATGTTTGCTCCTCAGAAAGCATTCCACTACCATAGCCAAGGATGGCTCTGGCAAGCGACTGTCTAGGGTCCATGCCGTCGAGGGCCCCATTTGTCCAAATATGCACCATGGATCTGTTTTGTTGAGACCTGGAGACAGTTGTCTGCCCTACCAACAATCTCGGGTGTCCGATTTTGATTACCTATGGTTGGGTGAAATTGTCTGGGTCAGACAATTTTACCATGGCTCCAACTAAACATGTCCCTATGTGCCGATGTATGCATAAGCCAACAATTGAAAGCCCAAGAACAAAAACACAACAGTTCGCCTAGAAAGCAGAAAGTCACGGATTGTGCCGTCCTCGTGATCTCTCAGTCCCTCGATCCATATACATCGTGTATCAGTTATTTGTTTAGCATTTTAGATTGTTAGCCTGTTACTGTTAGGGTTCTAAACTTGTAGTTCTAAGGCCCTGTTTGGTTGGACTTTTGGCTTTGGCTTTTGGCCCCAAAAGCCAAAAGCCCAACCAAAGGGGCTGCTTTTGGATGGTGCTTTTTCAGAAGCAGCTGCTTTTCCGTAGTTCATTTTTGAAAGCTGGGTTAACCCTGCTTTTGGCTTTTGGCTTTCTGTTTTTCGAAATTGGTGGAATAAAAAGCTCTTCCATAGTTGTTTCAAGAGAGATAAAGATAAAAGGTATATTTTATACTTGTTTAACCAAACAGCTTTCAGTTTTTCTACAGCTCACAGCCCACAGCAGCTTTTCCACAGCTCACAGCCCACAGCAGCTTTTTCCCACAGCCACAGCTCAACCAAACAGGGCCTAAGTACTTGCATACTTTCAGATTTTAAGCCCTGTTCGCTTCGCTGAAAAAACAAGCCGAAACATTATTCCGGCTGATTTCTTGTGAGAGAAAAATATTGTTCCGGCTGAAAAAACAAGCTGAAAAAGACGAATTATAAGAGAAGCGTGGGTGTTAGAATGCTGCTTAACAAGCATTTATTGAGTTTTGTGAAGAAGAGAAAAAACAAAGCACTGAATTATTGTTCTTATTTAAGATAATCATAAGGCCCCATTTGGATCTTTAGAAATAAAACCCATTCTAAATGTCACAACCTAGGTACAAATCCTGCATGTTTGCGTATCCATATGGGGAGGTATTTGTGTGCTGCTGCAGATGCGTGTGCAGGTGCTGAGCAGAATAGTGTGGGGGTTGACAGAAGCTGTTTCTGTTTCTCACCTTGCAAATTTGACACAAGCCAGTATCTAAACTTTGAATAGAATATCAAATTCCAAACCAAATAGCCAGATCCATATAGTTGATTGCAATTCAACCAAAATGAATGAATCCAAACAGACCATAATAGTTCTACTGTTCTTCTAAGTATTTTTCTGTTGTAGCTTTGACTGTCTTTTATATGAATTGTACATCCTATAATCTAACTTGTACTAGTACAACTATATGTTGTATTATCATATTACGAATGAAAAAAAAAATTGTATAGCTAAAAGCGCCTGCAATAGTATCGTGTGTTCTCAAGGATCATCAAAACTATACAGTCATAACCCCAGCCATACCAGTATTTTTAACTGCATCACATTAGCCAGATATATTTATTAGCTCATAACATCCGCAGTAAACATGCAGTCATGCACACACTTTAGTGCCAAGATATAAGACTTAAGAAGCGACAATATCGTTGCTCTTAGTAATAGATATAGAGGTTCTAGAACATTTCAGACACCACATAAATATGTAACTCGCCAAGTACATGTAAACTCAGGCGTAATTACACACGGTCATCCTCATCCTGGTACATCTCGAGGATCTGTGCGCATCTAGGAAGGGCAACGTCCTTCTGGAACCCCAGAGCATTTGCCAAACGAATGTTGGATGCAATCCCATTGTTGCTGGTAAGGAAGACAGGGGCCCTCTCACGACCAGCCACAACATTGGCACACCCCTTGTCCGGGCTGCTCACAAGGACGGACTCGCAGAGCTCATGCTCATGCTCATCAGCGACAAGGATGTTGTAGGTGCCAGTGCGGTCAGTATGTCCCTCGAAGCTGCATGTCTTTGCCCCAGTGGTTTTCGATTTGCAGTCGACTCTCACCTTAGCTCCTGTAATAACAAAGAATGCCATATCACTAACAGTCTGAAAGAAAGAAATAGAAGAATGCCATATCACTAACAGTCGGCAAAGAAACAAATAGATGACTAGTAAATGGCAGCTAAATGTTTTTTTATGGAACAGGAGGGGTGTAAGCCCCTACTGAAATTTTAATGAAAATAAAACCAAGCAGTACAAATGTTCAGGAAACAAAAAAGGTCAATGACAGCTAAATGCCCGCCTAGGCGTCACCTAGTCATCTGGCTGCTTTTCCAATCAAAGCACCATATCTGCCACAACCTCCATGCGTGCGTATGGTGTAGCCTCACATGGAAATTTGTCACCAAGACATCTACGGATGCCACATGTGTGAAAAGGCACACACAGGGACGCGCGACGCAATGCACTCGCAGGGGAGCTTCACGCACAGGGGGAAATTGTGTGCCTATACCTCCCCATGAGAATGTGCCCCATAGCAACTCACCAATTGAGAGAGGTGGAGGGAAAGAGAGAAGAGAGGGGAAGAGCGCCTGCCCACCTCCATCCAGCTGCTCCGGCCCCTTCCGTTCTATGATTCACAGCTGCTCCACAGCCTCCACTGATTTCGCTTCCGACCTCCGCTCTGTCAACTTGTGCCTCTAACATCCAACCTCCGCCTGCCGATCCGCGGCTGCTCCCGCCCCTTCTGCTCCACAGATTCGCAGCTCCTGCTGCTGCTCCACCACTGGTGGAGCTACGTGGGGGCCATAATGGTCCATGCCCCCCCCCTCTGTGATTTTCTGAAGCCCACAAGTCTCTGCTACTCCACTGCATATCCCTGCGCTCTGCGTTTGCGAGTCACCGCTAGCAGTAGCAGTGACCGGCCATGCCCCGCACACAGCAATCGTATGTACAGTAGTGCTCCCACCGCTCAGCCGTTACTCTGTTAGCCTGTTTTCTTTGCTTCTGTTGCTCTGCGTCTTGTTGATTCTTCTATCTTTTTGCCTTTCTGACTGTCAACCTATAAAATCTACATAGCATGCGTACTAGAAGTAGCTATTTGAGTAATATTTTGTTGTCAATCGAGATTTTATGTTGCTTTTTTTAGAGAATTTTTTATGCTCAGCTATTTTGTTGTCGGTTGTAACTTTGTATACTGTGACTTAATTATAATACTAAGATTATGCTCTGAAGGCTCCACTGATTTCACCTCTGACCTCCACTTTGTCAACTCATGCCTCTGACATCCAACCTCTGCTTGCCGATGCACGCCTCCGACCTCTGCCCCATCAATTCATGCCTGCTTCCATTTCTACATGGGCTAAGCGTCTCTTTCCTCTGCTCGCTTTCCTGCCAGCAGCCTAGCACCCTTCATGTCGGCTCACAGGTACCTCAGCTTCACCCCTCCTCTGCTCTTCCGCTCCCTTCCTCTGTTCAGAAGTCTGAACTATATTTCTCATGCTTGCTTGGATCTTGGACTTGGATATACTCCTGTGATGTGGTATGCTGCTTGTGCTTGGATAGTTGCATTGGGCATGAGGCTAGTGGGTGGTGACTGTTTGTGCATGGGCTCTAGAATTGGCATGAGAAAGCTATGTATCATGGTTATTAAGGCGGTAAGGCGAGGCGTGGCAACGGACTACCGCCTTACGCTTAGACGACTAAAGCATGAGGCGCGGCGACGCCTTAAGAATTTAAGCAAAACTTAAAGCATCAGCTTAGAGCAGTAGTTGATGAAGAAAAAAGAAAGGAGTAACAAATGGACTGGCCCAGCCCACCAGGCAGCCCATGTGCCCCTCCCCCTCCTGGCGTGGTTGCTCCCCTCTCTCTCTCTCTGGTTCCCAAATCTCCCGATCTCGCTCAAGCACCGTCGCTGCCCTCTCTCTCTCTCTCTTGTTCTCCCCTCTGCTTCACTTGCCCCTCTCCAGATGCGCGCTGCTCTGCTTCGCTCGCCCCTCTCCGGATGCGCTGCTCTGCTTCCCTCCGCCCCTCTGCTTCCCCTCCCTTTCTGCTCAGCGCTCAGCTCTACAGCCGCCGCCGTCCCCTTCCAGATCGAGCGGGAGATGGCAGAATCGAGCAGGCCAACAACAGAATCGACGAGAAGACGGTGGAATCCAGCAGGCCAGCATCAAAATCGAGAGGGGAAGGCGGAATCGAGGGGGTGTCAGCATGCGCATAAGGCGATAAGGCACTGCCTTACCCCTGAGGCGAGCCTGGAGCGCCCCGACGCTTAAGCGTCGCTTAGGCGACGCCTAAGCAACGCCTTAATAACACTGCTATGTATCAATGTACGTTTGTTCTTCTCTATTGTACGTGAGGGTATGTGTATGGCATCGCCTCACCACACCTTATTCGCCTAGGCATCTGAAAGGGGGTGGGTCAGCATGCCTAGACATACCGCATTAATAATCATGCTTCCAACAAAACCAAAAGGTATTGTGAACCAAGCAATATGATAGTTAGCCATAAAACAAAATAACATTTTTTTTTTTGCATCATGAGTCTATTCCATTTCCAGGAATGCTGCTGCTTCTTTTAGTCTTCAATGCATGTCATGCAGTCATGTTACATTGATAGTAGAACATTATAGATGAAACATGCATACCATGCCAGCCAGGTATTGCCCTGTTTTCAAATCAATATAATATTCTAATAATGGCCAGGTTTTGCGAGGCCTGGCCCAGCTTACAAAATTTGCTCCATGATATAAATAACCTGAAAACTTTCTGAAGCCACATATTGTAACCTATATGCCTCTAAACAATACTTTTTTCATTTCTCACTGATACTAGAAAAGCGAAAGGGCTCTAGCTGAGTTGGTTAGGTGGCTCTAGTAGCACTACTAAGGTCCTCGGTTCAACTCCCCCTGGGAGTGAATTTCAGACTGGGGTTAAAAAAATCTCCTTGTCTGTCCGACACCAAAGCACAAGTCTAAGGTCCAGCTCCGGTCATGGTTGTTCTCACATGGGCAACGGTGCCACTTGGGGCTGTCTTACCCCCTGCAGGTCAAGGCTGCCTGTCCCTGACCAATGGTTATCAATTATAGTTGCCCTTTGAATGAGAATAAGTAAATGCATGTTCCAGTAGCATGATTATATGCAACTTACAGCTAAAGAGGGGAAAAAGGGGTCTTTTGCGCATGTCTATAAGGAGGGCAATGGTTTCTTAGAAATTGAATGGATCGTAAGAGGTATTTATTTCAATTGGATGTACTGTTTTCACTTTACTTTTGGCCAGTTATTGCTTCTCAAAACTGTTTTGTAGTTGCACCTAATTTAAAAGATCCTATGGTCTTGAAGACCACTAATTCCATTTCTTTGTTTTGCAGTACACAGGCAAGATGAATCATGCGCAGCTGCAGTTCAGAAAATACAGAGCAGTTGAATTTCATGCTATGTTACTGTATAGTTCTGTTGAAAGGCAAAAATAACTGTCCTTCCAAAAGAATAAAGTGACATATTCCCTGGTATAAATACAACAAAAAAGATAGCAATTATCTCCTTCCAGAATGACAGCAGTTATACAGGTTAAGCCACATACCACTTTGGCACTTCCTGGGGCAAACTAATGTATTCACTCAAATTCAGAAAAACTTCTCCAGCTACAAATATAACACCAGTCTTCGTATGGATGTCAGTGTGGGATAGTCAACATCATTTTTATATTGTCCGATGTATGGATGTCAGTCTGGGATAGTCAACATCATTTCAATATTGTCCGATTTGACATCAATAACTTCACAGTTTGAACAACAAAGATTGAGTATTTCTAATTTTTTATTCATGTTCTGTGATGACTGCCTCCCTAGAGCCTAGACAACCAGATAAACATGCATTCCATAGAAACATGCTTGGTCCATCTATGATATATAATTAATCTATTTCCAAGTGCAGAGATCTAAAGATGGCCTGGTGCAGTGGTGAGAGCTGTCTCACTGAGTCACCAGGTCGTGGGTTCGAAGCAGCCTCTCCGCAGATTTTGCGGGGGAAAGGCTTGTCTCGCTTTATCCCTTCCCCAGACCCCACTCATGTGGGAGCCTCCGGCACTGGGTCTGCCCCTTTAGAGATCTAAAGATGACTCATGGTTCTGATTCATTGATTGGCAGCACATCAAACATGAGGAATATGGCCTGATCCAGACCCCAATGTCCAACAATGTACTACTGAGTACTGAGTACACTGAATCATCCACTATTCGATGTCCCGACCAAGAAATCCACGGTCCATGAACAATGGTCGGAGCGCCTAAGACCCTAGATCTCGCTTGACTATTCATCACCACCGAAAGATTTGAAGCATATGGATCCATACATTGCACACTCATGTCCATTTAGCTAGCATGTACTGACTTAGCGCACATCTGCTAGATCTCCTAGACCAACTAGACATTTCGAATCAGAACGAGATATCCGTTCAAATGAGAGAGAGAGAGAGAGAGAGAGAGAGAGAAATCACAAGTGGATCTAACTAGAACAAACCTGTGGAATCCAACAAGTTACACGTGCACCGTTGTCATGGACGAGGAGGACGAGAGCTAGCAGAAAGCTAACCTTCTGCACAAACCAACACTAAACATGCAGCCGACTTTGTAGTTTAAGGACGCACGAGGCTCGACGCCATCCTCACACAACCAGAGCAGTGGAGCGCATCCAGACAACACTCCCATAATGCAACCAACCAGTATGTGCACGGTCAGATCCAGAAGGTTGAAGGGGAAATAAGTTCATCCGAATTCAAGCAAGCACATGAGTAGCAAAGGCAAGTCATACGAGACGAGAGGGAGGGGATGATGAGGCGTCGCACCAGCAATGTAGGTGGATGCGGGGGTCTCGAAGCCCGCGCGGCAGTTGTCGCACCAGACGCGGCCGCGCACAACGAAGCCCGCCCGGAGCGGGCGGAGGTCGCGCGACGCGGAGGCCGGCGTCGCCGCGAGCAGCGCGAGCGCGCACAGCGCCGCGGCGAGGAGGAGGGACTCGCGGAGGGGTGCCATTGCCTTTTGCCTTCGCCCTTCGGCACCGACACGAGCGGCTCTGCGGCTTGGGACTGGGAGAGCGAGAGTGGAATCAGTGAAGTGGAGGTGGGGAAGGGAAGGATGCGAATGCGTGGGTAGATGGGCTGCGGGCGGTGCGAAGAGGAATAATGGTCGCCCCCTCGTCTCGTCCGGGTGGTGGGGGCGGCGTGGAATTATGTCGGCATGTGGGGGTGGTGTTCGCGCACCGCACGGTGAGTCGGTGAGGGACGCCGTAGCGAATCTAGTGCTCCGTCCGTTGTTCTGCTAGCATTCTAGGTATCTTCCAGTGGCGCGGGTTGGTGGTGTTTGCTTGAGAACTGTAAAAGGAAACGCAAAGGAATAAGAAACAGCGATAATGCTTAGACTTGTTTGATACGTACGTATTTATTTTAATCTATATGTGTTAATGTATTAAAATAAAATTAAGCTAAGTTTTATTATAATCCACTCCAACACAATAGATCACTGATTTTGCTTGACGCAAATAAAAGTTCATATACTGATGGCCATGGGACAACAGCTCGGCGAGGATGTCACGGCGTCCATATACTGATGGCCATGGGACAACAGCTCGGCGAGGATGTCACGGCGTCCATCACGGACCTGCTAGGTGGCATACTGTCGTGCCAGCTTATTTTGACACTCGTAACTCACAATTCTCTTCTAGTCGTCACCAATAATGGTAAGTAATTTTATTATCTCCAAAAAATTATTATTCTCCTTCCTAAATCTCCTTACATATATAGAGCTATAGACTATGCAGGACCATTACGATAGCAGCTGAAAAGCTTACAACTGATGCATGTATAGTCTTAAGCTTTATTGAAAAAATAAATACTATAAGTCATGTTCGCTTGTCTTATAATCCGTATTTTTTAACCTTTTTTTTTAGCCGGAACAGTATTTTTTCTCACAACAAAATAACCGAAACAGTGTTTCGGCTTCTTTTTTTTTCGAAGCGAACCGAGCCTATAGCTACTAGCTTCCCGAGAAAAGTAACTGACACATTATTTGACTTTATTTCTCTGCATCATCCTCCCTGGGCTGCAAAGAAATCGACCTCAAGTTATTTATGCAAGTGGCTTGGCAGCTTGAGCTGATAGGCATTAATACTTATCACTGATCTTTCGTAGAACCTTACATGGCCCAATCTTCTACTGAACTTAACTTACTATATTGTCCAGCATGAAAACGATATTTGGTTAAGACAACCCACACGTAATCGCCAGCTTGAAACCCAATGTGTCGACTGTCGGCCTTGTTCACTTTGCTGAAAAGCCAGGCTGAAAAATACTGTTGACTAATTTATTGCGAGAGAAAAATATTGTACCAAGACTGATAAGCCAGGCTGATAAATTCAAGCGAATAGAGGATGTTGGTCACCTGCAGCCTTGTATTTAGAATTGCTTTCACAGAGTCGTTGTTGAACTAACTTGTGAATCATATGCCAAACTCTGCAACTAAATCACCAGTATTCTGGTTTTTCTTCCCAAAAGAAGGAAGAGGTGTTAATTCGAGCACACCATAGGGAACTCTATAGAACCTCAAATGGAGAAAATCTCGTAGAATGATTTGGAGTGCGATTGAAAGCAAATTCTGCATAGAATAAAAACCTTGTCCCATTGTGACGATTTGTCACCAACAAGAGCCCGTAACATATTTCCCAAGCTCCGATTCACAACTCTAACTGACCATCCGTTTGCGGATAATAAGCAGTACTGAAATTCAAAGTTGTCTTCGTTTTCCTCCACAAAGATCGCCAAAAATGACACATGAACTTAGTGTCTTGCTCAGCTGTGTAGAATACCATGGAGGCGCATGACCTCACGAAAGAACAAATGAGAAATTTGACTTGTATCAGATGTCTTTCGACAAGCTATAAAATGAGGCATCTTGCTGAACTGATCAACCACAACAAAAATAGAGTCCACACGGCACTGCGTACAGGGAAGGCCTAACACAAAATCCACCATGGTCCACCAGGTATAGGTTGTGGCATATACAAGCCTGCATTGGTAGCTATTCCCTTGGGAACCTGGCAAATATAACATCGCCAAACAAACCTTTCCATATATCTGCGAGCATGAGGCCAAAAATAGTGTCGTAGCAATGTTTCAACAGATTTGTCCCTACCACGATGTCTTTCGTTGTGAATCTCCGTGATAATCAATTCCTGAATAGAACAATCAGGAATACAAAGCTAAGACGTACCCACAAAAGAGAAAACCATCATGGACAGTATATCGAACGGCCCTCTTGGCTTGTGCAAAGTTGTTAATGGTGCTGAAGTAAGGATCAGAAGCATAGAGCTCTGGAAACACATCAAACCCAATGACTTTAATCCTTGTCATGCTTAGGCAATGTGCTCAACAACTCGGTGCATCATCCACTCTATTTATTTGTGCACCAGATTTGTGCTTCAAAACAAAGTTATATTCTTCAAGGAAGCTAACCCATCGTGCTTGTTTGTGATTGAAGGTAGCTTGACTTTGAAAATGTTTAAGTGATTCATGATCGCTGTAGATAACAAACTCATGTTGCAACAAGTAATGTCTCCAATGTTGCAAGGCCCAAACCATAGCATATAGTTCAGTTTCATAAATGGAATATTGAAGTTGTGCTCCTGTCAATTTTTCACTGAAGAAAGCCATAGGGTGAGATCCTTGATTGAGAACAACACCAATTCCTACTCCAGAAGCATCACTATCTACTTCAAATAACTTGTCAAAATTTGGTATGGCTAAACAACCAGCAGAAGCAATTTTTGTCTTAATCTCCTTAAATGCCTTACGCACATATTTAGTTAGTACAAACATTCTACTTCTTTTCATACAGTTAGTAAAAGGAGACCATGATGATGCTAAAATTCCGAATGAAAATCAGATAGGAAGAAGCAAGACCATGAAAACTACAAGCGACCAATTGGTAATAGCTGCAACCTCATTTGGATCTGGTTCTAAGCCTTTTGCTGATATAATGAAGCCTAGAAAATTCATAGAAGTAGTCAATTGAAAGGATCAAGATGCCAAAGAAGGGGGTGAATTGGACTAATTCTAAATTTCTTACAATAATTAACCCCTACACTTAGCCCATTTCACCCCTTTGTGCCTAAAAGTGTTTATATTATTCTACCGCACAAAAGTTTTGCACCCTACGTTCCAATCCTACTCTAGCATGACAATTCTAAGAATGTAAAGACATGAATTGAATTGCTCAAATATAAATGCTCAAAGTAAAGAGAGGGAGAGGAATGCGGCGAAGTTTTTCCAAGGTATCGGAGAGTCACCACTACCCACTAATCCTCGTTGGAGCACCTGCTCAAGGGTGTAGCTCTCCCTTGATCCACACAAGGATCAAGTGCTCTCTATGGGCTGATTCTTCAACACTCCGTCGTGGTAAATCGCCCACAGCCGCTCACACCATGGCTTGGGTCATCCATAAGCTCTTCCAAATGATCACCAAGCTTCCAATCACCACCGAGTCGTCTAGGTGATAGTGATCACCATGACTAACAAGCACAAACTCTCACTTGACCAAGACAAGCCTATTGAGAAAGGTGGATGCACACTTGCTACTCCCTATGTACTAATGAGGTCCTTAATCTTGGATTCTCAAATCTCAATTACCCCACTAGGCTCTTGCTCTCTCTTGCACTCTAAAGTGTTTCCTTAGCTGAACAAATGGGCAAGAAAGCTAAATGAGACGAGGAGGAGATGTATTTGTACACCCCCATTCAAAACATAATCGTTAGGGTCCAACTCAGCACATTACGTAGTGACCGGACGAGCAGGTGGAAGTGACCAGACACATCTGGTCAGTAGCCAATGACTACACTGCGTCATTCTGACAGAGAGGGACCGTTACTGTGACCGAACTCAAGGCCGAGTCCGATCCGTACCCATCGGACGCGCTCGATCATGATTTTTGGTCTCTGGACCCTCTCTGTTGTTGACTGAACACGGTCAACCGTGAGTCCAGTCATCTACCTCCCTGCTCTGGTCCTTAGTCAACATTGAAACCCCGCTACTACAGTGCCAGTAGGCTACGCGTCCGGTCTTGATCCTAAGCCAGCGTACGGTCACGGTGAGGCCTCAGCTGCGCGCCCAGTGTACTGACCGAACTCTGTGAGCTTGGGTCTGGTCACTGCATCCTCTGTGTCTGGTCAGTGATCCACACTTCTATTCACTTCCAATTCAAGATTCTTTGTGAATGAAGTTGACTTCAATTGATGTTTGGGCTATCCCTGAGGTACCTAGTGCTAAGTTTGACAAGTGTGCACCACACCTAAACCATTAGACTCACCTAGGTCAAGTTACTAGTTCATACCCCCCTTAATAGTATGGCCAAATGAAAAACAAAGTCCTAAACTACTCTAAGTGTCTCTCCAATGTCAAATGACACTTAGAACTAGTCCATCCTTAACCTTGTCGTTCATCCTTTGAAAACTAAAATGATTTCCATCGATAGGGGCATGAAAACCTTTGATCGCCCAAACAATCGCCATTATCATGACCTAAGTCAAATTGCCTCTGCAAAACACACGTTAGTCACAATAATCTTATGTCATTATTAATCATCGAAACCCAACTAGGGGCCTAGATGCTTTCAATCTCTCCCTTTTTGGTGATTGATGACAACACAACCTCGAGTATGTATATAAGAGATGAGTGATGTTTTCAACATGCTTGGTTCATATAATCAATTGACAATAAGAACAAAGGGGTTAGGCATGCTTATATGAACCAAGCCAACATCAGTACTCAAGAGAATGTGAATGAAGTGTGAGTACACAATTTAAAGCTCATTTGAATCAGAGTAGAACGTTGAAGCAAAGCAAATGAGCATAACCAAGTGACATGATATATAAATCAAAGTAGAGAACACACATGTCACATAAGTCTCATAAACACACATATATCACATATATCACAAATCATGAAAGTAAACATGATATGCATGAGTGTCACACACAAAAAAAC